GGGAAACGTTACTCCCATTTTTAAGAAAGGGGGAAAGGAAGACCCGGGGAACTACAGGCCAGTGAGCCTCACCTCTGTGTCAGGAAAGATCATGGAGCAGATTCTCCCAGAGGCTGTGTTAAGGCACATACAAGATAAACAGGTGATTTGAGACAGCCAGTGTGGCTTCACCAACGGCAGATCATGCCTGAGCAATCTGGTGGCCATCTATGATGGAGTGACAGCTTCGGTACATGGGGGAAGGGCAGTGGATGTCATCTACCTGGACTTCGGCAAGGCCTTTGACATGGTCCCTCACCACATCCTTCTCTCTAAATCGGAGAGGTGTGGATTTGAAGGATGGACTGTTCGATGGATTAGGAACTGGCTGGCTGGACGCAGCCAAAGGAATGTGATCAATGGTTCTGTGTCAGGGTGGAGCCGGTCACAAGCACTGTCCCTCAGGGGTTGGTCTTGGGACCGGTGCTCTTCAACATCTTCATCAATGACACAGATGATGGCGAGTGCATCCTCAGCAAGTTTGCTGATGATGCCACGCTGAGCAGTGCGGTTGATACATTGGAGGAGAGGGAAGCCATCCAGAGGGACCTGGAGAAGTGGGCCTATGAAAACCCAATGAGGTTCAATAAGGCCAAGTGCAGGGTGCTGCAGTTGGGTCGGCGCAATCCCAGGTATTTATACAAACTGAAGGAAGATCTTCTTGAGAGAAGCCGTGCGGAGAAGGACTTGGGGGTCCTGGTGGATGAGAAGCTGGACATGAGCCAACAGTATGCACTTGCAGCCCGGAAGGCCAACTGTGTTCTGGGCTGCATTAAAAAAGGGGCTCCCAGTACAGGAAGGATGTGGAGTGGGTCCAGAGGAGGGCCACTAAGATGATCAGAGGGCTGGAGCACCTCTCCTATAAGGAAAGGTTGAGGGAACTGGGATTGTTTAGCTTGGAGAAGAGAAGGCTCCAGGGAGACCTCATTGTGGCCTTCCAGTACTCTAAGGGAACATATAAACAGGAGGGGGAATAGCTGTTTATGAGGGTGGATAGTGACAGGAAATGGGGAATGGTTTTAAACTGAGACCGGGGAGGTTTAGGTTACATATTAGGAGGGAGTTTTTCACCCAGAGGGTGGTGACGCACTGGAACAGGTTGCCCAAGGAGGCTGTGGATGCCCCATCCCTGGAGGCATTCAAGGCCAGGCTGGATGTGGCTCTGGGCAGCCTGGTCTGGTGGCTGGCAACCCTGCACATAGCAGGAGGTTGAAACTAGATGATCTTTGAGGTCCTTTTCAATCCAGGCCATTCGATGATTCTGTGATGTAGGTGGTCTCAGCACTTGAATTTATCTGCTTTTCACTTGCACTTATTTTTATTTCCACATTCTAAGCAATGAACTGCCAGTTATTCTTCTCTTTCTTCTCTTTTTGCTGCTTCAGAGCTCTTCCTTATGATTAACCTAAACTTGTCCTTCTCCATTTCTGGCCATACTGTTCCTAAAGTCAGCTTTGACCAGTTTCAGATATCCTCCCTCAATTACGTTTTCACCTAATACAAACCAAGGATCCTACTTTACATTTTTCCCTTCAAGGTTAAAATTTGTCAAAATAGAGACATATAATGACATGACAACAGTAGAAGTGTGAACTGAAACACTACCTGGAATGTCATCAGGGAGGAAAGACATTTATTACTGCATCACCTGCAATCCCCATCAGAAGGCTGCAGAAGTGTATTTCTGACTGAAGTAGTCAGACTGCATTTCTTTCTGGGCATGATGTATTTCAACTGACTTTTTTTAAGAATGTTATTTAAATACGCAATCGTTAAGAAAAAAATCTTGCCAGTTTTATTAGATTTTCATTTTCATGATGGATGTGAGTACACAACAACTGGTTTCCATTTCCAGTAATTAATTGTCCCTTTGAGAAGCGATCACCAATGTCACAGACAATTGTCAGGCATTACACTGGTGTGACAAAAGCATTTTGAGTCATCACTGACAGAGAGGTACAAACAGACAGGCTCACAAAGTCTTCCACAGCAAAATCTCTTTCCCCAGTAACCTGGCTTTCCTTTGACTTGCTGCAGCAGCTCCACGAACTTGGATGGGCACTAACAGTCATTATCTCACTGCATCACTACTTCTACTAAAATACATGTGAATAAGTAAGCATGTGGCTCAGTTTCAGCAGTTTGGTTATCTGCTTTCTCTTAAGTGGCATTGGGCTTCTTTGCACTGAAACCCCCTTTTGAAACATTAGATGCAGAGATAATGGGAAAATGTGCATGGAACTGGTAAGATGAGACATGCACAAAGGCCTCAAACAACTGGTGTGGATTATTCCAAGAGCTAACTTAAAATGCAAGTGGAAAGAAAAAAATCTTCAAATGAAGTGAAGACATTCACCTCAGGTTAATAGGAATCACAAATACACAATAACTCCCTAAACAGCTGGTCAGTGCATTAATGCTATTGCTCTGAACAGTGAGCATCCTGCAGAGCACAATGACCTTTTGCAAAGCCTCAGAACTACCTAGAAAGAGAAGTGCCAGAAATTGCTGTGCTGTTCCTACAACTGACTGCAAACTGCATTCTCCTCCAGAGTACCTAATGTGCCAACTTCGGGCTCATCCACACAGTCACATCTGCACTACTTCAGGTAATGATGTGCTCATCAACTAGCCTAGATAACTGAAATGAGAACAGCGAATGCAAATGCTATGGGACACTTGAGGGAGCGTAATTCCATGCACATGTGCTTTAGGTTGTGACAGTATTAGCATCTTCTTTGCTATCCGGACTCAAGTTGGTTTCAGCATCTCTCCTCTACAGCATGGTCTCCTGCACTTCTAGCATTAGTGCCACACCAAACCCAGAGCAGCTTGAAGTGCCCACATGATACCAGCCTAGAGGTGGTGGATCCCTCCTTCAGCAAGATGCATAGCTCAGATGCTTCAAGGCTTCTGCAGGGCTTGTCCAGAGCTCAGGGAAATGAAACTCAGTCCAGATCAGTAACCCTTCTGTCTCTCTCCGCATCAAACTCTTCACATAAGCTCTTCTAGTGGAGGAAACATGCCACCAAAGACTCCCAGGATGGGTCTGTGCAGAACCAGCTTGGGTTCAAAGTGTTTGTTAGGTCAGTCTCTGAGTCAGTAAAGTTAAACTGTTCCTGCACCTGGCCCTGGATACAGCACATCCATGCTTCCACACCACTGCGACTCACAAGCGCTGTCAGAGCAAAGCCAGCTGCACAGAGATTCAGTTCTGGTGCTGCTACATTCCTAGTGAAGCTGATCTGCAAGCCAGATAAACTTTCCATGAATAATTGCAGGTTTAATGGACTCACACATGTGTTTATAACCCTGACTCATAAGGTCAGAATTTATGCTGGATGCTTTCCCTTCTTTGAAATTCCCCTTTGAATTCCAAAGAATTTGCTCTTTAGGACTACGAATGTTTCAACTTAGAATTTTGCTTTTTTAAAGTCTTCTGAAAAAACAGTCAGTATTCTTTAGAATGTATATGCACACTGCTGTTAGAGCTGCAGTTATCAAGTCTTGTCAGATTTCTCAGCTTGTCCTCCAAAGAATATTTTTTTCTACAATTATTTACGTAGAAAATCACAGATTTGGTTCCTTCCATTTGATCCTTCCATTTACTTCTCCACCTTGAGACTGTCATTAGCTGAGGGCAGGACACACTCCTCTGTGACCACTGAGGAGTCTGGACCTGTGAGCAGAGACTCCGTGGCGTGGGGAGCATCCAGGGCTGCTGGGGAGCCTCAGCCTGCCCAGGCTGCATCTGATGTCAGCGAAAGAAAACAAATAAATAAGTTTCTTATGAAGACAGGCTGAGAGAGCTGGGGTTGATCAGCCTGGAGAAGAGGAAGCTCTGGGGAGACCTGAGAGCGGCCTTTCTGTATCTAAAGGGGGGGCTGTAAGAGAGGACAGACTCATTATAAGGGTCTGTTGTAACAGAACAAGGGGAAATGGTTTCAATCTAAAAAAAAGATAAACTTAGCCTGTATATAAGAATAAAGTTTTCTAGTTTTCTATAATAAGAGAGATGAGGCACTGGCACAGGTCACCCAGAGAGGTGGTGGATGCCCCATCCCCAGAGACACTCGAGGTCAGGCTGGATAGGGCTCTGAGCACCTGATGGAGCTGTAGGTGTCCCTGCTCACTGAAGGGGACTTGGATGAGGCGACATTTAAAGGTCCCTTCCAACTCAAACGCCTCTATGATAAATCAAACCTTCAACTACAATAAAGATCAAGCATCCACTGGATAGAAACCCTACTCTGAGAGCCACGTATTGGGAACAGGCATTCACATTAATATATGCAGGAAAACAACTGCAGGGATGCTTCTCAGATTGCCAGGGGGGGAATAAATAAATAATTAAATCCTTACAGCATACCAACAATGAATATTAGTATTTCACACATCATCTTGAACAGGAACTGTAGGTCTCCACGCCCACAGTAAGGTGAAGGAGAGCACAGAAGCCATCAGTAGAGGACACGGAGAGGCACAGGAGCCAAACGCACGGACACCGCGACGGCACAGCGGGCGCGATGCACGCCGTGCGGAGCCGCCAGCCCCAAGCCCTCGGCACCCTCCTGCCCTCCGCCGGCCTTCCCGCCTCCTCCAAAGCCCCGTGGACCACGCTCCCTCCCGCCAGTGGCTCGCTCTCCCCCTTCCCTCACCCGGTCCCATCCCCGCGTCTGCGGCCCCTCCGTCCCCTCAGAGCTGAGGGAGCCGGGCCTGCCCACCTCCCCCCCGCCCGCACCTGTCGGCGCCCACCCCTCCTTACAGCGCTCCCCCGCGCGAGGGCAAAGCGCCGATTCCCCCCGCAACGCAACAGAGGAGCGCGCCGGGGGTTGTAGTCTCCACCCGCCGCTCCTCCGCTCGGCGCCAGCGGGCGGCGGGCGCCGCGGGACTACGCTTCCCAGCATGCCCCGCGGCAGCCCACCCCTACCTCAGCCCACGGCCACCCCCAGCGCCGCCGGGGCGGACGTCGTTGGGCCGCAGCGCACCGCGGCTCATCCGCGCCCCGAGGGAGCCGCCCCGCCATTACCTGGGAGGAGCGGGGTGCGTGTTCTGGCGCCGGCGGAGCGGGGAGGGGGACGCGGTCTTTTCTGCGCTCGAGTAGAGCGAGGAAGAGGGGTGTGGGGGTCGGGGGAGGGGTCGAGCAATAGGTAAAGGGGGACGAGGAGAAGAAGAGAGGGGCGCGCGCGCGCGTGGCGGCGACGGGCGGTTGCTATGGCGGCGGGGAGGGGCGCGGCTTCCTCTAAGCCCACCCCCGGGCGCGGCCTCCCCGCAGGGCGGGCGGTTCGCTCCCTGCCCGTGAGGGACGGCTCGGGGCTGGGTCGGGCTCGGCGGTATGAGTTAGGCGGCCGGGATGTGCCGCTAACGGCCCGCGGGCTCGCAGCGGGAAGGGGCGCGGCTTTCCGGCCGGCTGCAAACAAAGGAAAAGCCCTCTGCGCCTGCGGGGGGCGGCGGGTGTGTCCTGCGTGCCTCCAGGGATCGTGCTTCGCTCAGAATGCGGAGCTCCTCTGCTTCCGTGTCAGGTGGTGGGGCGGCTTGGAGAAAGAAAATACACTGCTGTCCTGGGTTGGCACGCAGGAGGAGGCTGGTTGTGGCCTTTGCTAGGGGGTTTCGTCGCCTCTGTGTAGTAGGTGTGGGGAGTTGGCTGTTCCTTGGGCAGTACTTGGTAAGGCGGATGGCCTTACAGGGCATCATCTGCTGAGGGTGAATGTTGTGAGCAGCCTGGTTCCTGTGCAGGAACAGAGGCACACGCCTCTCTGAGGATGTAGTTTTGCAGTTAGTACAGGCCAGCCTGTGTATATTGCCATCGGATGGGCAGTCCTGTCTTCCTCTCTGACAATCCTGGTTGGGTTTTCCTGTTTATTTACAAAGCAGTAACCCTGATGTTGCCATCTGGTGAGGCATGCCTGGGGTCCAACCCAGCTGAAAGCCAGTTATGCCCCTCCAAAAAACAGCTGGCTTTCAGCTGAGCCTACTCCTGAACGAGGTGAGCTGCAGCGAGCACCAGGAGGATGGAGGTGGAGGCAGGAGGAGCCCACTGAGACCACAGAAGAGCTGAGCTGCTCTGAACTGCTGCAGTCACTCCCTGCTGCCACAGCTCCTGTGTGACAGTGCTGAGAACGTCCTGCTAATAACAGCCTGGTGATAGCTCCCGATGGCAGCATGATTTGTCTGGAAAATGTAAATTGCAATCTTAAGGTAGCAGCATGAGGTTGTATCTCACAGTAGAGTTCTCAGAAATGCTGACTGATGCAAGTGAAAGAGCAGGGATTGAAAGTAGGTGCTGAGAGCATCACTTAATGCAGCGTGTGTGAATGTGTCACTCATAGATGTACGTATCTCCCTTCCCTGAAAATCATGTGGAGATTCTTAGGCCTTTTTGAGTATTTTAGAACTGGAGCCAAAGCTGTGATGAATTCATAACAGCTGCAGCTCTGGCTTCCCCTTTTTCCAGCTTTCTTCAAACTTTCCTGTCCAGGACATCAATTCTTGCTGTTCTGTCACATACAAAAGCACAGATGCTATGCGGACATTGGAGACTTCAGTGCTTGTCAGGGAAAGCAGACATTACACAGCCCTGTGCCGCCATAATCCATTCTCAAAAGACTTATTGTACCTCTTATCACATTAGACAGCACATAAACTGCTTTGTCCGAGGCTCATATCCCTCATCTGGGAAACTGTAACAGGGAGAAGGTTAGTTAGTTAGTTAGTCATAATCTCTGTGTGTGTTTTTTCCTTCAGTGTTTTCAGTAGTATTTGAGGCAAGTTGTTCTGCTTCCTAGTGGTATAGGATATCCTTGCTCCCATTGGCCTCCCTTAGAAGAGTAGTTACTGAACACAGTAGTGATTCCTTGTCACTCTTGTTGGACCTCTCAGAAGGAAGGTCTGTTTCGGGAAGTGTCTGTCTGCACATTTTGCCAAGATCTGTGAAGTGGCAACAGGAAGAGAACAACTTCTCCAAAACCTAGCCATGTACATCAGCTGTATGTAAGGATTATAGTTCAGGCTGAAAGGGGCTTGGAAGGTCACTTAGTCCGGTCTCTTTCTCACTTTATGTCTGTATGGTCTTTGATATGAGATATGGCAAAAAGAAGAAGGACTAACAGCCATCAGGAATTAATAAATTTGCTAATAACGTAAAAGAATGGTAGCCATGAGTGTGATATTTTATAGCTTTTACTGCTGCTGTGATCAGACAAACTCCAGCTTACCTGGCTGGGGTGACCTAAGAAATATTACTTCCCTGACTGTCTGTTCTGCCTCTCGACTGAAGATTATTGCCTCCACAACAGTCCCAGGAATGGAAAGCGCAAATGTTTCTAATACATTTTAACGTAAAATATGGCATTAAACTGATCTTTATCTACAGTTTGAGCTAATTTGTTGGACATCGTATTAAAACAGCTGGGACTCGTGCATGTATTTCATTTCAGCAACTTGCTGTCGTACAGTGATCTCAGGCGAGGAGAGTGAAGGAAGTTTCTGTGTGAGGGTGATGCTTCACTGAAACTTCTTTTACAGCTGGTGTATTCACAGGTCTTACTTCTTTTAATTTTCTTGATAAAGGTTATATATGTAGCAGCTTGGGATAAGAGATGATGCTGGTGGGTGTCAGTGGCTGTGGTTAGACAGGCTCCAGCTGTGGTGGTAGAGAAGGGCATTACTCACAGCTGAACCCCAGAGACTTATCATGCCCCTTTGCAGCGATCTGCAAATCTGCCAGCTGAGCTGATTGCATGCCCTCTTTCTCTGATTTATTCTAGTCAGTTCAGTCAGAAGCTGATATAAATTAATGGAGCTCGTTTGCTGTGAATGTTTGATTTGGTTCAAAAGTGTCTCTTAAGGTAGAATAATTGCAGACACTGTCAGATAAGTTTAAAGCTATTCACAGTTAGGGTCTGTGTCAGATTAACAAAACTGGTTTCTAAATTGATTTGGTTATCGTTATGTAAATTCCATAGACTGTGTCTAACTTAGGTGGTTGGTGCAGGCTTTTAGCACAGAGTTGCAGGGAACTTCGTTTGTAACCTTCTCCCACACACAAAGTTCTGCAGGAAAAGATTGAAAGCATGTGAAGTGAGATACCTATGAATTGTGAACTGCCATTTGCTTTTGTCTTCTCTTCCCCTTGCAATTATATTTAACTTGACTGCTGGAATTACTATGCCTTTGTAATAATGCTTAATGCTCACATGCAGACATAACTCTTCACCAAAGGTCTTATAGGTTACACTGAGAAATGCTGTAATAACAAAAGGTAAAAAAAAACAATAGGGAGGCAATTGAGAAAAGAAGGAGGATGTTACACATTCATGGCTATTAACCTTCAGGGGAAGATATGCACAACTCAGTAAAGGCATCAGTAGATACACACTTTTAATTTCTATACACACATAGTAATTCTTCTCCTGCCTAGAGATTTTTATTGGATGAAATTTCTCATGTTGACACATCTACTCATTTCTTTTCTAGGAAACTCCATCAGAGCCTGAACCTCCAGAATTTGTGACGGAGCAGCAACACAGAAAGATGTAGTCAACATCTTTCATACAAGGTACATCTCAAATGCAATGGATTGTTAATGAAGAGCAGTTCAAGGGAAAGCTGTTGAGATTTCCATTCTGCCAGAAAATGAGGGTAGGGATGGCCAATGGTTATTGTATTTAACTGTTCAAATGTAAACATCTTCTTGTTGACTTGTGTATATAAATTAGGCTTCCTCTAGTCTTTCTTCATAGTGGAGAGAGAGAGGTACCTCTCTGACCAAGATGGACTGTGTTGTATGTTTAATTTTTTCCAGTGCTTACAGGAGGAGTAAGCCAATCACCATGAAATTAGGTGCCTGCTCTGTAGATGCATGAAGTCAGCTGAGAGGAGTCTGTTGTGTTGTTAGAGTCCAAGAAAAAGATATCATGACAGTTACAACTAAATTGATTGAAATTACAAAGAACAAGCCGATGTCTGAAGAGTAGAAAATGCAGGTAGAAAAAAGGTAGCTCTTTCAACTGTGTTGTAGCAAGTCCACAGTAAGTTGGAAAAAATGGTGATTCTGCTTTTAGTCTTTGGACAGAAATTAGAAGAATTATCAGAAATTAGGATGTTGTGTTTCTTGGTCTTTTTTGGATCAGCAAAAGGATTTTGCATCTGCTATAGCATTTGGAGAAGGAGTAAGAAAGTAGCTGAAAGTCAGAGAGGAAGACTTCAATGGAAACCTAAGAGAAAGTGAAGCTGGGCCCATGAAGCTGTGTGTCAGCAATTGTTACCTAAAAACTGGGATAGGAAAAGAAAAGGTTTATTCACATCATCCCAGCCCTGTGGTGCCTCGCCTGATGGTATAACGTGGCAGAGTTTCATGAATTTCATCTGTGTGCTGGGGCTGACATCTAAGAAGTTGTCTGCAGTACACAATTAAGCAAAAAATGTTTGTTAGTATAACTGTTCCATGGTGAATTGTGGATTTTAGGCTGTGGTGCTAAAGATATGACAATTCTGGAGTCTGTCCTTCTGTAGTTATTCTGAAACTTTTTGTATAATTTCACCTACATTTGACGAAAGGGTTGATGCCTTAATGATAACTGAGTTTCTTTTAGTTTTTAGTAAGTGGTGTGGTAGAAAGAACGGGCACAGTTGGTGCTTCTGCTGAGCGCAAGGTAGGCAGAAATGAGATGTTAAATATTTCACTTGGCAACAAGCTGCCCAGTCCGGATGTTTTAAGTGACCAACTGCTCCATGCAGACTGCTGCTTGCAGCACCCACCTCTGTGCACAGCTGTGGTTGCATGCATGACCCATAGGCAGCTGTTTAGTTGAAGTATGAGTGCTGAGGGGAAACAATTACAAAGCCATAGGATACTAGCCTCCAATGGCTTGAACCAAACAGTTATCTCAGTTGAGCCTGTTAACTCAGACATGGGCATAAATTTAGGTCATGCTGGTATATATTATTCTCCTTCCCCTGTAGGTACTTCTCTAATTTAGAAGTGGTAGTTTCAAATTCGGGAGCAGTTGGCAGCTTTTTACACACTGCTTAGGTGTCCAAACCAGTGGAATAAACAAAGCACAGTCTAATACATATTAATGGCTTGTCCAGCGTATTCAATTTATTAGGTATTTTAGTTCCAGCTCTGCAGTGTGAGATATTGGAAGATGAATTGGCTTTAACAATCCACTCCTGTAAACACATTCATCCAGAACAGAAGGTAGCTACATATAAAGAGTGTTCTTCAAGGTATCAGTAATCCTTTTCAGGGTTGTCTTGAACATCCCTTTGAATAATACTGTGATCAATGGCAGTGATGGTGGTTATGTTTGGAACATTTGAGAAACAAATTGTGCTCTGGTATTTACGCAAGTATCAGGAATCTGCAAGTCAGGAGTGCAGAAGGTAAGCAAACCAATGGCCGTGCATTTGTATTGAAAAAATGACTTCTGCCATTCACTGAGAACTTCTTACCTCCATTTAGCAATACGTAAGCAGTTCTGAGAGAATAGGAGCAATGTAGTAAATGGCAAAATAAAGTTACTAATGAAACTTTAGCCAAAATTACTAATGGACTTTGAAAAAGTGCTTATGGAGAACAAAAAAAAATTAAATAAGATATTCTAGTCATCATTTCAGTGGTCATGTTTCCCCATTCTGGTCTTCTGGTGTGATTATTGTAAGGAATATACTGTGGTTTCCATGTGAACAACTTAATCTGATTCATATTTTGAGGGGCAAAAAAAGGGAATCTTTTTTTTAACTTTGAAATTTGGGCTGTACTTGCAAGATGTGCATTTGTTAACTGTTCATTTATTTAATAAATGAGAAACAATTGTGTCAGTAGAGGGTCAGCAGAGGGTCAGCAACACAACTGCATCTCATAAAAGAACAGGCATTGTTATCATAGCTTTGGTTAAACTTATTTTAAATTATTATAGCATCCCGTTCACATTCTTGGAGGGAATATTCACTGCATGCATTTAAACACACAACTTAGATGCCTAATTTAGGAGGCTTGTCTCCCCAGATGCCTTGCATAGTTGAAGGAGTGAGAGAGGCTCCTCCAGAGAGCAATTCAGACTATGTTAGTGAAGCTTCGGCTCTGAATTATCATCTGGAGGAGCCTCTTCAGCTTTGAGAGCTGTTCTATGCTATTCTTTGCGTCTTTTCCTTGGAAACAAAACTAATGTTGCCAGTGAACTAATCTCCACCCCTCAACACTTGCTTATCACTGTCACTTGTGCCAGCACAGCTGTTTATGTGGTGGCACTGGCAGCTAGGTTGGTGAAAGACACTCTGAGAAAGATGCTGCTTTTAATTCAGACCACACCACTGATCTGTTTTATTGTTCAACTTTGTAAACGCAGGTTAAATTGTGCCTGAGGAAGTGATGAGCTTTAGCAAGAGTCAGAAATGAATTTTTGAACTTGGGGACCTGTCTGCTGAGTGTACCCCCAGGAACAAGATGTATTCAGCTTCAGGGTTTAAGTTCAGGAGACAAAGTCCTTTATCAAAGCATCATTCTGTTCACATACATTATTTTTGTATCAGTAGTGTTTCAAAAATATCCTAGAGGTGTTTTTATGGTTTGCATCACTGTAAGAAACAGATAGTCTAACCTTATGTATCTGTTACTCGTGTGAAAATAGCTGTAGTTCACTAACAAAACAGCATGTAGGATTTAGAAACATACCAGGAAAAGATGTGTTAAACTGTATGAAGGCAGCATATGAGCATACATGAGAGCACGGTGTAGTCACTAACATAGAGCAACTGCAATCAAGTTGGAGTAGCTGAAGAAGTTCCCCCCCTTTCATCAGACACACTAAAGACGATTTACTTCTGTGCATGAGCTAATTGCCTTAGATTATTTTCAAAACTATTGGACAGTCTGGCCTTTCGAGTGGTGCTTCAGTCAACCTCTGTTAGATGTATGCTATAGGAAAAAAATGAAGCAGTCCTATAAGGTCCAGTTTCTCTCCATTGGCTATGGAGGGAGGTGAACTGCCTATGTGAGTTAGGAAATAGCTGTGCTGGGCCAGCTGAATCCCACCCACAGACAGCACGGCTGTTCCCCATACTTAGCACCACAGACTGCAGGGAATGTACTGACCTCTAAAGCCACTCACACTTGGCTGCAAGCATGACCGACTAAAACGTCATTTTCTGATTATTAAAAATCACTTTTGAGGGATTCCATGCCACCAGTGACCATTGCTCGGACACTTCTGCAGTCTCTAACAGTTAAGACATTTCATGTTGTTACTGTAGTAACTATCATGTTTTAATAGTGTCCTTTTAAAACAGTTAGGAATGCTGGCCACAAACCCAATGAGGTGAGAAATTTGTTAATAAGTTTTAATAGTTAATAATTTTTACATGGCATCTTGGGTGCTGCTTTTTAAAGTCCTGCAGCCATCAGGATAGATTTCTTAATAACCTGTGAAGAGATTGTTTAGTTATATATTTATCCATGACCTTCTGTAACTTGACCTGGCTAATTGCTTTTTCTGGCTGTAGTCTCACCTCACAGTCCTTCTCTGTGAAAGTAAGAATGAAAACATTCATAAAGAATCACTGGCTCAGCCCCAGCTGCAGAGTACTGCTGCTGACTGCTCTGCCTGCACCACATAGCCCTGTACACTGGATCTTATCTGTGTACTTTGTGGTATTTACCTGGTCCTGCAGCAGAGTTGTTATTTTAACGTATTTTTTCAGCTTAGAGTGTGAGGGCTGTACAGCATCCTGTAGAGTGGTGGTGTTATAACTTGAAATGTAGTATTACGTGCCCTGTGGTACAAGTGAGGGCGTTTGGAGGAGGGGATTTGCTGAACCCGTTGGGACACTGTTGCACAATGGGGATCCAAGGATACCTGATAGGACATTCTAGGCTTTATTGTCATCTGGGAGTAGTCCTGCAAATGAACTACCCAGGATTCATGCCTTATCTTAAAGGCAAGACCTGTATCCAAACAGATCACAAAGGAGAAAGTTGACAGGCAGCGGGGATGCTCAGCTTCTCTTGGCTGTGTTGTAGATACAGTGTAGATGTTTTAAGTGCCTAGCTTCGTGCTATGATGGAGTGAATAGGACATAAGCACATAGTTTCATACAGGTTACCTCAGTACATACCATAGCTGTAAATAGACCTTGAATACAGAAGTGGTTAATACCATATATTGCAAGCACCTTAGCATTTCATGCATGTTGCTGAAATAAAGTCACTTACATTCCTGGTTAGTAGCTCTACCTGCAACTCAGCAGAGCTTTGACTGGCTCTTAGATCTAAAAATAAAATTCTCCTTACTGAGATACCATATAATTCAATGATAGTCTCAGTGGGGAGGTAGTGGAAAAGTGGAGTAGATTAAATTAATTGTTGTATGGAAGCTTTTCATACATTGCGTGGGATGCTCATATTCTTCATTATACCATATGGTATCCAACTGTAACGTGATAAAATTACTATTGCAGGACAATAAATAACATCATGATTATGTATTACAGGTCCCACCTCATATGTGCAAAACGAGTAATTATAGTTGGAGTGAATAATGGAGATTTGACTCTTGT